ATTCTCACCACCATCCTTCACAGTTAGCTACCGTGGGTAAATCTTTGTTTCAGAGAGCACGAGGGATCTGTGACAGTAAACACCTGGCTGCCGAGCTCCACCATGTCAAGCAAGTTTTGCATGACAACAAGCTTCGAGTCCCGTGCCTACGTCACAGTGAACGAGTGAAGCCGGCCACAGTCGAGCGTGTACCTGCTGTACTGCCATATGTTAGAGGAGTCACTGACAAGATTGGTTACATCTTGAAGCGTGCTTCCATCAAAACATACTTCAAGCCGCTGAAGAAGACTGGTCAGTTTTTACCATCAGTCAAGTGTAATGTCCCTCTGCAAGATGCAGGGGTGCACAAGCTTGATTGTGAATGTGGCCTCTCTTACATAGGACAAACTAAAATATCAATAAAAACCCGCGTTAAAGAACATATAGCTGATGTGAAGAATCGACGCTCCGGGAAGTCTGCAGTCTGTGAACACGTACAGGATCGCCCCCGTCACTACATCAGATTTGATAGACCGCAAATCCTCGCTAAAGTACACCGATTCCTTCCAAGGATGATTCGCGAGGCTATTGAAATCAAAAAACATCCTAATTTCAATAGAGAAGATGGCTAAGTGCTACCGATATTGGCTTGGGATCCGATAATAAATAAAATTAAATCCCAAACCCAAGCATACAACTGCAAGACTTCAAGATACCATAAGTTCATACTGTATAGATCGGAACAAAAGTTAAATTTTAATCTATGGTAACCGCGGTTAACTATGACATATGGACGTTGAACATCTCAGTCCCGCCCGTGACCATGAGTGCTGTAAAGCGTTCGAAACGTCGGGTATTTAAAAAGTTAAATATACGCGATAAATTCCGTAAAAACTAGTATTATTTCAATGTGTAGTGTTCGCGTAAATATAAGAAATCAAAATGCCACCTGTTTCGGTGTCTTCAGAATTCTTTGGGTAATGTTAGGTTACCAACAAGAGATGACTGTCAAAACTATTTGTCGCCTTTTTTTTTTTTGATCAAAACTGCCAGGATTTCTACAGCAACGGGATTATGTTACTATTTACAAAATGACAACAATTTATCGAACAAAATGGCACATATTATATATTATAATTAAATGTAATTTAACAAAAAACTGTCTTGAATTTGTATATAAACCATAGCAAATAAACTTTTTCCCCGACCTATTACAATCAATTCCACCGTGTATACCATAACGTCATGTGGGCGATATAAGAGGCGACAGAGACCAACCAGAAGACGCCCAGCAGCGTCTCAGCGTCTTCCAGATAACAAGTACAAAATAAAAACCTGTGGATGTGAACAAGCGCGGCAACTATGGCAAATACTTATGAAGCAGCATGTATAGTCGCGCAGTTGCGTTGACGGCTCATAAATATAAGTATTGGAGTGACAAAAACCACTGCACACATGCAATCGACTTCAGACAAAACGGTCCGTAAATACTTTGCCACGCCTTTGCTTCAAAGCCTTTAATAGGGTGACTCACTCCTTTCCCGCCTTGGAGTCCGTCTTGGTAACTTACTTATTTCTGTCGGCAAATAAAACTGCTTTGTTTCATCTGAAAAAGTAGTGTATAGAACATATTTTATAATTAAAGGCAAATTCATCTTTGTCCTCATAGGTGACGACAACGTATTTGTAGCCATTTTTGTTTGAAGACAGACTTGCAGGTCCTGCAATAGCCTTATACTATCAGGTGGGTCGTAAGTCCGTTTGTTACTTCAGTTTTTTGAAGTAAAACTTCTTTACGCACGCTTGACTTGGGGAGTAAGCTGGCAAACGCGTGACGAAAGCGTTACAAAAAGTGTGATCGGGCGAGAAGAACGGGAGTTGAGTGGGGGATATAAACAAGAGACAGCAGTCAACAAGTGCAGAGAGCGCACATTCTCTTTCTTACTTTCTCTCATAGCCAGTTATTTTTCAACAAATTTATAAATTAATATTTTGTTTAATACATAAAATATTCTACGTTTAAAGTGAATAAAATTGTAAATACAATTTAAGTTTTGTGAATTTTCAGGTGAATAATAACAAATTATTGGTGGAAGATAAATTTAAATATTTGTAAAAAATTAATACATGTATATATTATACGCATACATGTATATACATATATATGGAACTAAAGAAGTTTTTCTTCAGTCGTGTGGTCATAAGCACACTCGTTTTTTTTAAATATACTGACTAGTAGTCTTTAAAGTGAAACACAGCATTACATTGCTTTTTGGCGGCAGAAATAAGTATGATGGTCATACCCTACCTTTTCTAACTGGGTGGACTCTTAGAAAACCAGGCATAGTACCTTTTGTCTTTCAAAAAGTTATTATTTTAATAGTTAAGTTCTTAAAATAATGATTTCTTAAATTTACGCGAACACTACACATTGTTTTCTTTTGCCAGGATTTGTGGTTTATCAAATCTGATGTAATGGTGGGGACGATCTTGAAAATGTTCCTAGACTGCAGAGTTCGACGCTCCGGGAAGTCGGAATTGAAATTAAAAAATACTCTTATTTCAATTGAGAAGATGGATGGGTGCTGCCATCTGCTTGGGATCCTATAATTAACAAAATTAAACCCAAACCCAAGCATACCACTGCAAAACTTCAAGATACTGTAAGCTCGTTCTGCGTAGATAGGACCAAAAATTAATATTCAAAAACTGAAGGTAGCCGGACTAACTATGACATTGGGATGTCAAACATCTTAGTACTCCCCGTAACTATGGGTGCTGTAAGGCACCCGAAACGTCGGGAATTAAAATAAGTTAATATAGTTAAATAAACGCGATAAAATCCGTAAATATAGTTTCATTCTTAAAATAAATCATTTGCAAGGAGAGACATTTAAAGAGATTAACGATCAGAATTAATATTCCTAAAATGGAACTAAAATGTGATTTAAACAAATGAGAATTAAATATTGGAGTCAAAGTCTGTCGCTAAGAAAAATATAATTATTTTAATCTGTATTTTACCCACATAATCTTTTTTTTTTATAGAATAAGAGTGACAAACGAGCCCGCAAAATGGTATTTGGAAACCAACTGTAGACCATAAACACCTACATCTATTTTATCCTCGATTAAGAATCAAAATGGCGATGCGTTGTCACCCCTAAGGACTAAGATGGAATGCCTCTGAAGTGGTCCTTCGCCGGTCAAGCCGACCCTTTCTTATTACAAACACAATATAACTGCAGCATGGCTCCACCATGTTTAAAAATCATCTATACGTTTCTGCTATCTCGAGGGAAGATCATTTATGCCTTTGCGATAAAACTCTGAAGATCTGGACTCTACTAAGACCAGAAGGCATTTTGTATCGCTTATACCTTCTATCGCTATACTATTCGAACGATTAATTTTTTTCTTGACAGGAAATTTCCTAAATTTCGGAAAAAATATAATCGTTTGAGGTCTAGGCTTGCTAGACGGACAGACAGAAGAATCACGTATGGTTTCTAACAGCAGGACTTGTAATATTAGAGCGGTTCCTTTAGCAGTGTGACATCTTACGTTATCAATTTTCATGGACACTTGAAGTTATACCAATAGAATGCCATAGTTATTTTGAATTTAGAATGTTATAGTTTTTCTGTAAAAAAAAAAAAAAGATCGCGAATATTGCACCATGCAGGTTTAATTTTAATACAAAGTGGCCACTCCAGTACACGGCAACTAAATACTTTATTCTCTATCATTAAGAATGTACATTATTTTACAAAAACATCATTTTGTAAGTGTTTTGAAACTAATATTTGAAGGCCAAGTATTTGAATATAATTAATACATTTGTTGCAATGTTTGCAAGGTCAACAGGCCGACACTGCTTAGAAAAAAAAGTGATACAATCACTGGCGGCTAACAACTGTGATGACTTGTATCTAACAAAGAAATATAATAAAGGATAAAAAATATATAGTAAAGGTAAACTTTTAAATATATATATAACTTTTTAAAATGTATTTTCCTTTTTCATATTACTGACTGTCCTGAAATACGAAAGAATATTTATCAAGGATATTTTTGAAGAGACTTTGTAGTGGTAGTGTTAGAATATCCGCTACCCGCTGTCGTCCCGTGGGCGTCTTAAGAGGCGACAGAGGGAAACTGGAATAGGAGATGGGCAGCAGCTTTTTCCTGATAGCTACTTAAAATAAAAACTGCTGTTGCCAACCCGCCCGTCAAGCGTGGCAACTATGGCAAAATTCCTCTAGGGAGTCTATGGGGGAAGCCTCTGTTCAGCAATGGACTTTTATGGACTGTAATGGCGGTATTGACTAAACTGCACTCAGTGTGCAATAAAAACTTTGCACACTGAGTGCAGTTTAGTCAAACTTGATAGATAGGAGAGTTTTCATCCCAATAAGTGACCCTCGATGTATTTTATAACGAATTTAATGATTTTTCAAATAACACAGGGTCGTCGGATAGGGCAGCACCACGTTTGCCTGGCCAGCTAGTGTACATACATACTTATAGGATAAAAAATTTAGACATAGGAACTATTAATTACTTAACTTAAACTACTTTACTTAACTTACTTATTTGGTTTGTTTGAAACCGATTAACGCCGATTGTTAATAATCTAATTTAATTTAATTTCTCGTAATATATTTTTCAGTGAGGGTTAATATTTCAATCATCAGATATCTATCAGATTATCTATGAAATAAAAGAACCTGACTGAAATATAAAAGTGAAATAGTGAACAATTCTATTCTTTTAACTGTTATTTTTCATTTATTTATGTTGTTTTAATCATGAATAATTAATTATTGTAACTTAAAATGAAAATAATTAGTGTTTAAATATATGTTTGTTTACTTTCCTCCAGCAAAATGTTAGACATTAGATAAATAAATATAGGACTAGAAAAATCTACAAATTAATATAGTATTATTATATGTAGTAGTGTAATGATATATTTTTATCTTACAAATTGTACTATTAAATTGAGGTAGAAATATTAATTAAGGTAGAAAAGCGTTCAAGCCGCCTAAGTGTCCTTCATCCCTCTCCCTTTGGAACTGTAATCTTTCTTCATCATAACCATCGATACCCAATCCAAGTCTCTCGATTAATTTTTCTCCTTTGTCACCGTGAAGCGCGATAAACTGTTTCCGCCTTCGCTTAGCCACCTCAGGATCAAACACCCAGGTCTGTTTCTCGTGGATAACGGGTTGACCCACTAAATTTGTCCTGAGGAATTCTCCAATTGGTCCAACATGATCTGACGCAGTTGGTCGGTAAAGCAACGCGCACACACAAATTGAGAGCTAGAAAAAAGTTACACGTCAAAATATTGGCGGGAATTTGAAAAATATATGCCGTTATTGAATAGATAAAAAATATCACTTAAACAAACGTGATAAAAAGAACTGAGTAAATGGATAAGACACTCACAATAACATTATTCATGTTTAAAAAATGCAAGGGAGTAACCGGCTCGCGTGACGCACTCGTCCGCACTGTTCGACCGCGCAACTTTATCGCAATTTTACTTTTAAAACAGTTCAGGCTTCGTTACTTAATCATTGGACTATTATGCCTGGTTAGTTTGATATCTTGCGTCACGAACCTAGGCAGCCAACGAATACCAAATACTGTCCTTCCATACCCAACTGCACAATGCGTCTTACACAACAAATTTTCTGTACTATCCTATCAATTTTTTCCAGTGTTATGTAATATTTTTAAAAATGAGTTATTATCAACAATTTTAATTTGCTTAATGTGAAACGGGTTATTATAAAGTCATTATGAATTTGTCGTTGTAACCGTTATGACTGGTTCCCTCCACCCTAGTGTGTGTGTGTGTGTGTGTGTGCCACCAGGGGTCAAATTTGGGTTAGTAACGTACATTGATATACGAAAAACCCTTTTTTGTATTATGAGTTTTTTTATATCAATGCTAACGTACTATAAAATTTAAAAGGAGGGCTCTGAAGTTTAGCCCTAAGCTATTATACTTAAGCATAACTATGAGAATTGCATTGTTATGCCTTTCTGCTTATCGTAATTGTTTTACGTTCATAAAGTGTGCACGCATATGCGTATAGTACCAATATTACCAAATGGAAAATTATGGACCTTATAGAAGATGTCACACTGCTTAAGTTAACATCCAATGCACAATAATACAAGAGTTAGCAACATCGCAAAAGAGTGATTTTTTGTGCGGCTAGTTTTTAGATATTTCCTTACTTTTTGCAATTGGTGGGAATGCGGTACGTCTGCAATTCGTTCGCAATCTCTTTGTACAGGTAATTTTTCATTATTAAATCATTTTATAAGAATAATTTTTCTTTATCATTGCTTTTTATGTATAGCAATATAACAACCATGCCAGACAATTAAATCGTTTACAGAATATCGTGCCAGTAACAATATCAATAAAAATATTTTTTTTAAATAACTATATGGCCCTTGGTTGGTTGGCCGGTCTTCGGTCTGTCACACCTTGTCTTGAGGCTTTCCGGTGGAAAAGGAGTTAGTGGTTATTAGGTGAGAATGTGGATAAAAACAAAGCAACTAAATATATGAATTGAGGACCACACAATATAGAGTAAAAATCTAGTTAAAGGAGGGTATTAGCCTGGGCAGGGAATATAGAATTAGGTTAAGCTAAATTTAGTACACAATAATTATACTTTAATATTATACATTCGAATATATTTTGAGATTGTATTGACATATATGGAATCGGGGATAGTTAAGAGGGAATTGATATTAACTGGTCGAGGGATTGTTTTGGGAAGGATGTCATATAAAGAAATTGGGTGATTTTGACAACTGAAGAAAATGTGGTCTGGGGAACCTTCATCCAGACCACATTCACAGAGGGAATGATCTTTGATTCTAATTTTAGCTAGGAATACAGGAGTGCAGACATGCCCGAGCCTTAAACGACAGATTGTAGATGTGATTTGTTTGTTCAGAAACCTAAATTTGAAAAACCAAGGTTTTGGAGGAATTTGGGGTTGGACCTTTACTATGTCTGGATATGCTCCAATCTCTGTCCCAAGAATTCTTTAAATCAATTTGAGCTAATGATATTAAATCATGAGAGTAATTCATTAAATGAGAAGGGCAGCATAAAAATATTTATTTTCTAAGCAGTTTAGTTATAGTTGAAATGTCAAATCATATAGTTATATAATCCATAAATATACCATATTTATAAATTCTCATGAGGACTCAGAGGGATAGGCAGCGACTATGGAGTTCTTTATTTGAAGAATATAAAATTAATAAAAGAAATTATTTATTAGAAATATGAAACCTTCTTGGTGATAACGAAGACATCCTTGGCAATGAATTATTTGTCGCCCTTTTCTACCTCACTTATTGTTACCGCAACCGAATTCCAGTCTAGCAAACTGATATTACATTCTTTAATTACAGAACTAAGTATATCATATGAAATTTCAACTATACTAAAATGATTTCAAAATATTTCTTAATTATGGAAATTTCAAATACAAAATTGTCTGGCAACAATAATAAATAAATAATACATAATTTTAAATTTTAAATAATTATGAAAAAGAAAATTGTTGTCATAAAATGATTTCATTATGCGAAATTTTTATGGTGTAAGTGTCGACCGCCGCCTGCGTTGCCGGTTTATACAAAGAGAATGCGCGCAGTTAAACGCAAACACTTACAGGTGTCAGATGTACCGCATTCCTGGGGTAAATAATATGCACTTAAAGTTTAATCATTCCAGAGTATATTTCTCCTGATAATGCCTCTGTGCCAGCGCTGTCGTCGTGCCACAAGAGAAAAGCACGGAAGCTTAAATTATGCTATCAAAGTTTCAAAGAACTGCGGTGTTTATAGAATAGCTTCGAACTATTACACGGTGCGTTGACCGCTCCCCGGGTTGACCACCTAGCCCGGCGGGAGATCTCCCCTTTTCCTTACCACGACCAAATCTCCTTTAGAGGCAAATATATGGTATTATCGACGGTGGTGTGCCTTTCCTAGTTTGGTGGTGTTGGGATTAGTGGTGATGGGGATAGTGCACGCACGATAGGAAGAGCGGGAGGTGCTCTTCAAATTAAGTAAGACACATAATTTTACTACACGTATATATAAACGCAAATTAATGTTAACATTTTTTAAATAGTGTTCTGTGTATCGCATCCCTACCAACGAATAACTTCAATGAGCGCGGAAATGTCTGATAACCAGCAGAAGTAAAATTTACCCTCAAAAACGTTGCTAGCTCTCGCACTACCAGGTACCAATCCGGAACCGAACGGAACGCTGCGGACCGCTTTGTTGCAGAAAATTCAACTCTCAGCTCATGGAGGTTAGATAACTGGAGAACGACCGCTACGTGCCCGCCTGTCCCTGAAAATTTGAAAAATTTATAACCGCGCTGCCGTCGGTAAGTAGTAGAAGTAATTTTTTAATTATTGTTTTTTTTTAGGTTTAAGATATTATTTATTTCTCAAAAGATTACAAATCGCTTACGAGAAATAAAAAAATTACAAACAATAATAAAGGAATCCATCACAAGCATACAGAATATTAACTATAGATGTGGGTAAAACGTAAAGAATTAAAAGAACAGTAAACATTTAGACGGAACAATTAATGCAACCGAAACAGAAATAAGAGTGCGTAAAACTAAGTTAGATTTAATTTTTGCTTGTATTTTTTTTTTGATTAATTTTCCAAAATATGACATTTCAATAAGTTTTTAAATAAAGATAACGTTTTTGATTCTTTTATATTATTAGGTAAAGCGAGTTTTGCACCGTCAAACATTACATTTTTCTTACCATACTCTGTTCTAACTTTTTGTATGTATATATCATGGGCACGTCTAAGGTTACGATTGTGAAAATATATTTTTTTTTCAAACAATATTTGCGAATGAATGTCGTTTTTAAGTATTTTGCGTATTAATATGCAAGTGTTATATTGATATATTTGTGATATATTTAATAATTTGGTTTCTTTATATATTGACAAAAGGAAACATTAAAAAATGCTGAAATAAAATTAAAATAATAATAATAATAAAGCAATAATAATTAATAATTTATATTTGTAATAATTTATAATAATTAAAATTATAAGAAACATAATTTACAATTTATTTATTAATAAATAATAATAATAATTTCGTTATTTTCTTTTTTTTCTTTGAATTGTATTATAATCACTTCAAACTAGCGCACAACAGCCCGCTTTTATTGACAACTTAGCGATCGTAGCGCCTCACTTAATTTGTCGATATTTCTGGGACATTATTTTCTACAGCGATCGTTCTCCTGTTTTCTAACCTCCAAACCTCCATGAACCTCCATATCTCATCCCGTAGACAGAGAAACTCTCTACGCCACAACCTCAACCACTTTTTAGGCTATGTCTCTTTATTCCTATTGGTTGCTTTAGAAAAAAGCCAACAGAGCATGCGTGCTACTTTACCGACGTGATCTCCCACCTAAATACAAATTAAGAAAAATCAATATTTTTGACAAAAATAACCTGAATGAACTTGACATTGTTAATATTTTATTTAATGGTGTTTATTACAGCTAAATAATTAAAAATGATGCAGGAATTCGACGATGACTTCTTTTTCGAGGAGGATAAAATGTAAGTTTATAACCATTTTGTATTTTATGTTATCGACAATTTTGCTTATCAAGTTTCAACGTTACATCCTTCCTTTTATGTTGCAGAGTTATCTGTTGTTTGTGTGCAAAACAGGGAAGGTTTTAGACTAATTTTGTGTTGTTACTGTGGTTTTATTGTGAAAAAAAAATGTGGCAGAATAATAATATTTACGCCTTTGAACCAAGACTGTATCCGCCACTAACCAGTATTTTGACGCATAGCACGTTCGAAGATAAAATGTAAATACGACCTACTTTTATACAGCAATATTAAAACTATAATTATACGCATAAAGATAGAAGATATAAATATATTTATCCCAAGTATTCACTAATCCTAATCACCGATAATGTACAGTAACATTACATTATGAAATTCAAATAGGCAGTAGCTATTCCGTAATACTAAACAATAGTTATAGCGTAGACTTAATAGTTATTAACATTAGCTTAGTTAAATATTAAAAAAGTATCCCCCATAGTCTCAATAAAAACATGGAAACATGAGGTAAAGTAATATAATATATTATCATATTTAAAAAACGATATAATTAAATAATACAACCACGATTATAGTTAGAGTTGCCAGATAGTCGGGATTCGTCTGGATTCTCCCGACATTTGAAATAATCTCCAGACTCCCGACAAAACTCAATATCTCTAGGCACACAGCCCCTCGGTGAACTAACGTACGGCCTTTGATTTAATAAAAGCTGCGAGTAATTAATTAAGCTATTTTCTGAATACTACTAAAGGATCCAAATTGGTGGAGTTTAGTAAAGT